CCAAAAATCAATGGCTACTGTTCTACCATAAAAAAAAGAATAGGTCGCCAGGCATGGTGGCACACCCCTTTAATCCCAGCACTCGGGAGGCAGAGGCAGGTGGATCTCTGTGAGTTCAAGGCCAGCCTGGTCTACATAGTGAGTTCCAGGACAGCTGGGGCTACAGGGAGACCCTGTCTCAAAAAGACCAAAAACAAACAAACAACAAACAAAATATAAGGGCTGGAGTGATGACCCAGCAGTTTAGAGCAGTTGAGGCTCTTAAACTGGAGTTCAGTTCCCAGAACCCACATCACAACCACCTGTAACTCCAGCCACAGGATATGACCTTCACAGGCACCCTCACACATACACACAGACACAGATACACACACACACACACACACACACACACGGTGGGGGGGGAATAAAAATAAAAACCTAAGCAAGCTAAGAACATAAGTGGCTGTCTATCTACTGAATACCAATACTTATAACAGTTAATACTGATTGATGACAAGATCTAGAATCACCTACAAGACAAGTTTCCAGGCTCTGTGAGGGATTTCTTGATCAGGTTAATTGAAGGGAGAATGCCCACCCTGAGTGTAGGCAGCACCGTCCATGCTGGAGGCCCAGGTATAAGGAGGCTGAGGGAGAACTTTTGCTTCTTGCCTTTGTCCCAGCCACCACCGTCCTTCACTGACCTCAGAGCCCAACTTCTAAGGCCTTCCAACCTGGACTGAAGACCTATGTCTCTCCAAGACTCCTCCGGGCCTTTGACACTCAAATTGGGCCTGCCAAGGCACTCGGCCTCATGAACAAGGCAGCGACTGGTTCACACCTTTCCAGCGTTAAGACAGCTGTTGTTGGACTAGCCAGACTGTATCGTGTAAAGCAATCTAACAAACCCCTTAATATGTATTCAGTCTATCAGTTCTATTCCTCTGGAGAGCCCCAACAAATACAGTACTTACAATGAAGTTATCTAACCTTTGTCACAAAAATGAGAAACAAGGGGCTGGAGGGATGGCTCAGCAGTTAAGAACACTGAATGTTCTTGCAGAAGACCCAGGTTCTAATCCCAGCACCCATGTGGCAGCTGGCAACTGTCTGTAACGCTAGTCCCAGGGGATCCGACAGCCTCTTCTGACCTCTGCTCGCATTGCATGACACAGGTGCACTTACCTACATGCAGGCAATACACGAATACACATAAAATAAAAATAATAAATAAGATTTTTAAAAAAGATATAAATAATAAAATATTTTAAAATGAAAAACAAAATAGAGATGTTGAGTGTCCCTTTTCCATTGGACTAGAGGTCCTGAATATTGTAGTTCAGCAAAGATTAGGGGGAGAGAGGCAGGATGGACTCTGCTGGAGAGAGAAAAGAAGTGATTTGAAAAGTTTAGTGCCATCACTAAACGATATCCTAGGGAGATATCTTATGTGAGCAACTCCAAGGCAGGAACAATCTAGAAGGAAAACCCCCTCCTCAAGCCTGGGGTTCTAACCCCTCTGGAGAAGGACTGGCTACAGTCCTCTAAATGGAAAGTTCATTGATTCCTTATTCGGAGCTGGCTCCCAGTCACCCTAGGTTACAAGTAACCAAGGCAGGGGAATGGGGAGAGGGTGTGCAGGGGGGATTTGAGCTGTAAACAATAACTTTTTTTTTTTGATCTTTTTGAGACAAAGTCTCCCTGTAGCCCCAAGTGGCCTGGAACTCACTATGTAGACCAGGCTGGTCTTGAACTCACAGAGATCCCGATCCCCTTGCCCCTGCCTCCTGAGTGCTGGGATTAAAGGCGTGTGACACCACGCCTGGCATACCATAACTTAAAAAAAAGGTTTATTATTTTAATTTTATGTATATGCATGTATACATATACATATGCCTGTATGTAGGTAAGTGCACCCGTGTTGTGCAGTGCCCACGGAGGTCAGAAGAGGGTGTCATATCCCCTGGAGCTGGAGTCATGGACAGTTGTTAGCTGCCATGTGGGTGCTGGGATTTGAACCCAGGTCTTCTGCAAGAACAACCAGTGTTCCTAACTGCTGAGCCATCTCTCCAGCCCCCTCAATAACTTTTTTTTTTTTTTTTAATGAGGGCTGGGGAACCAGATGTGGTGGTGCATGCCTTTAATTCCAGCACTTGGGAGGCAGATCTAAGAGTTTGAGGACAGTCTAGCCTACATAGTTTCAGGCCAGCTGGGGGCTATATATTGAGACCCTGTCTCAAAAAACAAAACAACAACAAAAAGTGGTCTGGGAATGTGGCTTAGCCACAAAGCCCTGGGATCCATCCACAGCACCACGTAAACCAGGTGTGGGGGTGCACACCTGTAGACCCTGTACTTAGAAGGTGGAGACAACAAGATCAGAAGTTCAAGGTCAGCTTCAGCTACATAGTGTGTTAAAGGCCAGCCTGGGCTACACGAAACCCTGTCTCAAAAAGAGAAAGGAAAAGAGAAGAAAAGTAGGTTAACAAATAAAAGACCTGAGCACATGCTGAACACTGCTTAGCCCTGGCATCCCTCACCTTGTCCTCCCACCTGGGAGTCAGATCGCTCAGTCCTTAACCACAGTCTCAGACTACAAGGCAGCTGGGAGTGGGGTTGGCACCGTGACTTCTGGCTGTCACACACAGGCACCATGAGACACCCAGTATCCAAACGGCGGAGCACAGCACAGAACCCAGGCCACAGTTGGAGCCACCTCCTGGCTGTGTGAGCTTTGTGTTAGGTGAGGTCTCTGTTCTGACCCCCTGTGAGCAGCCGAGACATTTCAAAGCAGGTGTAGGAAGGATCAGGTGGAGTGCACAAACAGATGCTGGGGAAGCCTGGCCGTCCAGAAAAAGTAACACCACAATCCATCCAGTCCGGAGGGCTGTATGGGCAGAGGAGGCCCATGATACAGATGGGGGTCAGGGTGCAGAAACTCTGGGAGCAGGTTCAGACGAGTTAAGGAACATTGCATTAGGGGTCTGTCTCTGTCTGTGCTGCTGCTATCCCAAAATGTCCCAGGCTGAACGATTTATAAAGCACAGCAACACACGTCTCAGAGATTGGAGGCTGTTAGGGCTCCGTGGGTTTGGCTGTTTTCTAAGAAATCCTCTCTGCTTCCAACGCCGTCCTTGTGTGCTAGAAGGCAGAAAGGCATTGTGTTTGTTACTTTTCTTGTGGCAAAATACCTACAGAAGCAACTAAAGCAAGGGTTTATTGCGGCTCACAGCTCAAGGGCACTGTCCATCACGGAGGGAGGGCGCAGCAGCAGGAGGGTGAGGTGGCTGGTCACATCGCAGAGAGAGATGAAAGCTCTCGCTCAGCTGGCTTCTTTTTATTCAGTCTGAGACCCTAGTCCTAGAATGACGTCACCCCTATTAAGGGTGGGTCTTCCCACTTCAATTAATCTAGAAACTCCCTCACCAACATGCCCAGAGGCTTGTCTCCTGGGTGATTCCTGATCTTATTGACAATGAAGATGAAGCCCTTTCCAAGGTCACCTGACCTGGCCCACAATGATAAGGACTTAGAGACCCTGCGAATGAATGAAGACACCTGGAGGGAACAGGTGGAAGATGACAGGGAATTGGCTGTGCCCCTCAAAAGCCCAGGTGCTGTGTGTGCCCAAGTCTAGCTAAGATCTTATGAATTGCTCTAAGGGGCTGGAGAGATGGCTCGGCAGTTAAGAGCACTGCCTACTCTTGCAGAGGACCCAGGTTAGATTCCCAGCACCCACATGGCGGCTAACAACTGTTCTTCCGTAACTCCAGTTCCAGGGGATCCAATGCTGTCTTCTAACCTCCGCAGGCATTGCACGACACAGATGTACTTACATGCCTGCTGGCAATACACTCATAGACATAAAATAAAAATAATAAAATATTTTTTGAAAAAGGGAGGCTTGGATGCCACACAAGGATATTGGCAGAGCTGGATGGGGCTTCTGTGAGTCAAGGAAGGGGCCAAGATGGCCGCAAGCCACTGAATGCTGGAGAGATCCAGGATGCTTTCCTTTGTGACTGTAAGGTCCTGCTGGCACCTTAGACATAGTCCAGTTTGTGCACGCTCTATGACAAAGGGAAGCTCAGCCCTCAGTGCCTTCTAAGAGATGAGTCTCTGCCACTGCCTGGGTAGCCTTGCACACTGGACCCTGGACCCTGGGCTCTCCTCTCTAAAGCCAGACAATATTCAGCTGGGCACTAGGCCTCCTGGGGTGACTCCATCCCAACTGTAGACTGTCCTAGCACAGAGTCACCTGGGTGGGGCGTGAAGCTGAAAGTCTTATGGAGGGCTCCCTCTTTAGCGGCAGAGCTGTGCTGTGTGTGGGTTCCCCAAGGTTGGGTGCAGGAGCTGGCAGAGGGATGCTGGGAGGGCACCTCACCTGGAGGGAGCTGGAGACATAGGAGCAGGCTCTGCCACATGGGGGTGAGACAGGTGCGGGGGAGGTGGAAGCCATGGGAGCTTGGTGCCCGGCTCCCACGGCACTGCAGGGCTCAGGCTGTCCATCCTTTCTCGTGCTTACGGCCCTCTAAGCAGACTGTCATGACTGTGACTCTTGATTGTTGTCAACTTGACCCCATTATGAAGTGCCAGGAAGTTAGTAAAGCTCTCTCCTCTGGGAGCGTCTGAGTGTGTTTCATAGATACTTAAGACTGACTGAACATGGGCGGCACAGTGTCTGCAGGCTGGGAGGAGGGAGGTGGAGGGCAGCTAGCACAGGCCTCCCCTGCTTCCTGCTCACCATGATGTAACCTGCTCTGCTCTGCCAGGCCCTCCCCACCATGGGGACTGACGTGTGCACCTGCCACCTCCCAGAGATGGGGTGGCAACCAGAACGGGAAGGGCACAGTGATCTTGTGATCTCTCTCTTTCCCTTGGGGCAGGAGGGGCAGATGACCCCGACCTTCAGCCACTGTGACACCTACCCAGCTGCCCCAGGGTTTCTCAGGGCGTGTTCCTGAAGGCAAAACACAGGACCACAGGGCTTTAAATCATCAATCAATTTTAATGGATCATATGGAAGCAAAACTACATTGGCGATATTTAAGACAAACACTTTCTCTAGCCTCACTATCCACTGGACGGTCCTCCTTGGTCCCCCCAAAACTAACAGTCTCAAGACGCATCGGGAGCTCCCCTCCTGGGTCCAGTCTTCCAAATCTTCCCATGTTTCTTACAAAATCGAACTCAATCCATCCAAGAAGAAAAGTAAACCAACAAAAGAGGAACCTGAAGACAGTTACGTCGCCAGCCACTCGGTAATGCGTAGTTGGCACCGCGTAACCAATATATGACGTGTGCCTCACACAGCTCACGTCGTTCATCGATAAAAGAATATAAAAATCTTGTTCAACCAGTGTTACGTGTATTAAAATAGATCTGTATCGCGCAGCACAGTTTCTCCCGGAGTCGTGAAAAATGACAAGAGGAACAGTGGCAGGTGGCGGGATGCCGGCCAGCCTCCCTACTCTGCACCTGTGTCTGTGTGCACACGTGCGTGTCTGTGGCCCTGCAGCTTGCACACACACACATGCTCAATGCAATTCGGCACCGTGTGATATGCTTGAGAGGAGACCTGTGGCTCCTGGACAAAAATAGGTTGTGCTGAGTCCGTCAGGACAGGGAAACAGGGTGAGGTGGGCTCACGGCCCACGGGAGTGCAGGGGCCCTATGGGCACAGAAAGCCTGCACTCCCTGGGAACAAGAGGACAGTGTGAGGAGGGGGCTCTGGAGGCTCTGAAAGCCAGGCTCCCAAGTCTACCGCCCTCTCCCCCTGGATCTCTAAAACCCCTCTAGGTGCTCCATCTGGCCAGCCTCTCAGGGGAGGTTGTCCATTCGTACCTTGGGGCAGAGACTACCAGACCCAGAGGAAAGGCAGCGGGTGCCCCGTTCACATTACGGATCACACAATAAAAACACCATACAAAAATGTGAAGTGATTTTTGGCATAGTGTCCTTAACTGGCAAGAGGGCTGGATGTTTAGCGGTTCTTTCAAGGAGAACCCTGAAGGCTTCTAGTCAGGAGTTGAAAGCCACCAGGTGCCTCCCCTGCAGGGTGGGGGGGCAGCTCCATCTAGCCCGGAACTCCACGAGGAAAATACACTGATGGCCAATGAGTCCCAGAGATTGACTACAGGAAGAGGGCTCAGGATGGCTGAGGCCTAGGCCAGGCAAGGCAGCCCACGTAGGGGTGACCCCAGGGGAAGCTGGCCTGTAGTTTGTTCAGTCAAATTGGCTGCAATTGTCAACCTAACAATACTGACAGAAGGGGTCAAGGGCAGGCAGAGCGCAGGGAGACCCAGGGCCTCTGGACAACTACCTAGGTTAGCTACCCTCTCTGGTACCAGAGGCTCACCCCCCCACCCCACTATCCAGCTACCTGTCCTCAGTTTGCCTTCATGCAGGCTATGCGTGGGCCAGTCTGCCTCACCCTCCTCTCTGCAGTCTGCCTCTCCTGTGGGGACGACGCAAAGAGAGCTGGCAATGGAAGCTGAAAGCTGGGGGTGGGGCCCACAACAGCTGGGGGTGGGGCTGCCTGTGCCTTGGTCTGTGACACCCCACCTGGCCTTCAGGTGTCCCCTGTAGTGAGGAAGGGTGCAGGGATCCACCTTCAGCCTGTCTTGGCTCTGGGATGTGCTCCCTTCTCTTCTATGTTTCTCTGTCTGGTTTACTTGTGTCTGAAATTCATAGAGTTTATGAGTTAAGGCCAACAGAACCCTCAGGACTCAAGAGCAGGGTCCCAGTAACTTTCCCTAGGTGTCACACAGGTCCCTGTGGTCAGTTGTGGCCCTGAGGGTGCTGGAGGGCAGGACGCATGGTGGCGGTGGAGGGCTTGCTCCAGGGCCCGGTCAGCAGTGGAGTGGAGCTGGTGGCTGCCATGGCAACCTGGAGCATCTGATCACCCTGGATGAGTCTCAGGAGGGCCCGGAGGCGGTCCAGTGATGACTGTGTGCCCCTCTGGCGGGCCAAGAGGCTTGTCTTTAGCTCCAGGCATTTCTGTCAGGGGCAAAGGGGTTAGAAAGGGTCTCAGAATTGAACGTTGCTGCATCCTGGGGCAGTTGCCTCGACTGCCCTGTAGTCCCTCCATCCCTCTGTCCCTCCCTCCCCCCTCCTTCCCTTCCTCTCTCTCTCCCAAAGCCTTCCCCCTCCATTACAGAGACAATAGGCCAAGGGTCCCACAAAAACAGGGAGGGGCAGATTAAATAAACAGCTGGACCCACAGGGTAAGTCTGTCTTGGAATGTAAGGCCAGGACGTACAGGTCACATAGTGATGCCCATCCCCACAGCTGACCATGGCTCCTCCTCTGGTCAGCAGTAGCAGTCACTGAGGGCCACAGATTTCCCAGACTGTGTTCTGTTCCTGCCTGCTCTCTAGCCTTTCTGTCCTTAACAGAGAGATGACATGGCCATGGGGCTGGAGTCAGATGCCCACTACTCTGGATCAAGTGCTGCTAGTGTAGCAGTGACCTCCCCACAGCTGTTCCCAAAACGAGAACACTAATCATCACAGAGACTGTTACAGGGTTCTTGAGAGGACTGAAGGAGACACTGAATCTAAAGAGCTTCTCCAAGCCGGACCTGTGATCTCAAGGTACTTGGGAAGTTGAGGTAGGAGGACTACAAGTTCAAGGCAGCCTGTGCAACCTAGTAAGACCCTATCTCAATAAGTAAAACCATGCTGGGTAGGGGGAGGACTGGGGTGATAGTTCGTTGGGTAAGAGTATTTGCTGTGCAAGTGAGGGGGCCTAAGCTTGAATCCCCAACACCAATATAAAAGCCTGGCATCATCATGCATGGCTGTAATCCCAGTTTTGGGACGCAGAGCAAGTGGATCCTAGGAGTTCACAGGCCAGCTAGCTTAGCCCCCGGGAGTTCATGGGCCAGCTAGCTTAGCCCCTAGGAGTTCATGGGCCAGCTTAGCCACAATAGCAAGCTTTAGGGTTAGTGAGAGATGATATCTGAAGGGAGGTGGCAAGCAATAGAGTGAGACATCTGACAGCCTCCTCTGACCTGGACACACACATGTACATACACATCCGACAGCCTCCTCTAGCCTCCTCTGACCTGGACACACACACATGTACACACACATCCGACAGCCTCCTCTAGCCTCCTCTAACCTGGACACACACACATGTACATACACACATATGCCACCCACAAACACACACACACACACACACACACACACTAAAACCATACTGGGGATACAGCTTATTGATAGCGTGTTTACCTAACATGCACAAGACTCTAGGTTCAATCCCCAGTACCATAAAATAAATAAAATAGAGCTTATCTAGGACCCAAAACTGCTATTAGGACTATCACCATTATCGTCACCATCACCAACATCATCACTGCCATCGCCATCATCACCACCAACATTATCACTATCATGGCTCTCATGATCATCGCCATCCCACCATCATCACCATCACCACAATCATCACTATCGTCCCCACCATCATCCCCATTATCACCACCACCATCATCACCACAACCATCATAACTACCATCGCTATCGCTATCATCATCACCACCATCACCACACCACCTATCATCATCACCATCCCCATAATCATCAGCAGCATCCCTACCACCATCATTCCCATTATCACCATATCATCTATCATCATCACTACCATCACCATCACCACAACCACCATCATTGCTATGACCACCACCACCACCATTACCACCACCATCACCACCACCATCCACCACTACCACCGTCATCACTACCACCATCACCACCAACCACCATTACCACCATCATCATCGCCATCATCTCCATCATCTCCATCATCTTGTCTATCATCAACCTACAGATTATGTCCTCTTTATACCAGAGGAAGCTGAGGTTCAGAAAGGCAGGGCCTTGCCAGGTCGCAGAGCTGAGAGGCAGGGTGAAGATGTCCCTAATGACTTGGTAAATGTTTATGAACTGCACTAGAGCGTCACCCTCCACCCACGGACCCGCTGGGTGACACAGGGGAGACTGCTTTCTCCCGGGCTCCGTGAGTGGATGGCAAGGCACCCACCCTACCTGTGCTCACCTTCACTGCCGAGGCCAGCTGCTGATCTCGCTCCTCCAGCTGCTGGTGCTCAGTCTGCAGCTCGCTGCCTCGCTGCAGCAGTTTCTGCTTCTCCTCTTCTTTGACTAGGAGAGATGGAGCAGACCCACCAAGGGGCAGGTGAGCAGCTGGGCTGATGCACGGAGACTGAAAATGTTGTGCTGGGGACCACTCCCAGGTCTTGGCTTCTTAAAGCTCTGGGTCAGAGGAGCCTGGACCTGCCCAGCCTCTTCAAGCTCCCACAGGAACCCAGGGGTCCTTCCCTACTCCCCGTGACACCTTACCCGTCTTGTGGGTGACGTAGGAGTGTACAATGGCCAACATCCCAGTCCAGGGCACACCCTCGTGTTTCTTTAAGGCCTAAGGGACAAAAGGGGTGATGAGAAAGAATGCAGACCCTGGAACCTGCTGGGACCATATCCTGGCTCTCTAACCCCAGGGAAGCATGCTCTCTGAGCCACACCAGCATGGCTCCTTGGGGGCCAGAATCTTCAATGCTTCCCTCCCTGGTCGAAGCCAGGGATGCTGTTAAGCACCTCACAGCTTACAGGACAAAGCTCACTGGGTACTCAAGCCTCTCTTCGTCACTCTTGTGCACGCCCTGCCTCCACCCAGGTCCACCATGCTGGGGACCACCCCAGACATTGTCATGCCATATGTGCAGGGGAGAGTGAGCCCTCCTGCCCCCACCTTCTGCTGGCACTTGGGGCAGACCCACAGGCCCTTGGGTGCTGTCTTGAGGGGGGGGTCCAAGCAACTGAGGTGGTAGGCCCCTGGGCAGGTGCTGCAGGGCTGCAGGTTGGCCCCTCGTTTGCAGGCGGCACAGTGTTCATCATGGGTGATCTCACTCTGCAAAGAAAGGGGGATGTGAGGCAGCTCAGCCAGGCCTAAGCAGCTAGAGAGAACAGGAGGGAGTGGCTCCTGCTGGGTGACACTGCAAAGATACACCTGGACTCCAGCAGGTTATGTACCCGGATGGGTAGGATCCAGGGCATGCCTGGTTACCCTGACCAGGGCTGGGACATTGAGCATGGAAGTTGGCACAGGGGGCTCCAGTGCCCCAAGTCTTCCATGCTAAGACTTGAACTCTCAATTTGTGTGTGTGGGGAAGGGCACCCACCATGTTCTAAGAAACAGCCTGCCTCCTGTTTAGGGAATGGAGCCCTGCACTGGTGGCTCATTCTTACGAACGTGCTGTCTCAGAGATGGGGCTGTGGACTGAGGCAAGTGGCACCTTCAGGCCTCTCAACTGCATATCCATCTAGTCAAGACCTGATACTCAGGTGAGTCACACACTTGCCTCCGCATCCACAGCAGAGATAAGGCCAGCTGTCCCTCAAGCACTGGACAGAACAGGACAGAGCACGTGAAGCACTCCCCACTCACACCAGGGGCCCAGCAGAGCAGTAAGGACAGGGCTCTTCATCTGTCTCTCCCACTGAGGCCTCAGCACACACACACCAGGGGCCGTGTCCCTGGCGTGCACAAGGACACCTCTGCCTGGTTGAAGGGAGGGGCTCCTGTGACTTTGCAATACCTGATTGACTTCCGGCCACCCACCAGGGCTCTTTTCCCTACAAGACATATCAAGAGAGCTTTCAACCTCAGAGCTGAAGAGACCAGAGAGGACAGCCCATGCCACAAGGGCCTTAGACAGCAGAGGTGTCCCTGAGGGAGGGTGCTGTTCTTCAGATGACCTCTCCTACGCCCATCTACGCTCCTCATTCAGCATAGAGGCCCAGGAAGGGGGAAGCACCAGCCCAGTCACATAGGAAGCAGGAACAGGAGGTGGAACAGGGATCAAGAGTGCTGCCTCCCACCTCAAAGCCAAGGTCCCTCCAGGACTGTGGGTTTACGGGAAGGGGCTCCACTCAGGAGCCTTCCACCCCGCTGTGTGTCCCCTTGTCCATGTGGGCTGGACAGTGGTAATCTGGATAAACTGCCAGGCCAGGCCCATAAGCACCTGTATTTATTGCCACAGGGTGACCTTGGAAAGCAATGTGGATGTCCAGAGCGGGCTATAAGCAGTCCCCTAGGTGGCACATGTCAGATGAGACCTGTTTGGGATTTGATTAGAAATTGGTTGGGGAGATGGTTCAGTGAGTAAAACCTGACAACCCGAGTTTGATCCCTGAGACTCACGTGATAGGAGAGAACTGACTCTCACAGATTGTCCTCTGACCTCCACATACATACAATAAATAAAACGTAATGAAAAAAAAGAAATTGGGAAGGGAGAGGCCATACACGGGAAGCAGATACTGACCAATCAGTATCACAGGGAACAGAGATAGGAGCTTTGTGGACTGGTAGTCACAGGATCACAATGGGTACCTAGGGTAAAACCCTGGGAATCAGCAAGCCCTTGAGGTGGGCAACAAAGAACCAGAGACAGCCAGCTGTATCCAGTCCTGGCACTGGCTGCTTCCAGCAGAGCCCTGGTGGCTCCTAGGGTCCCAGCACCTTTGGGGCCAGGCAGGGGAAGACACCTATTTGAACCTGGCCGCTCAGCCTTTCAACAATGCAGGGCTCAGCTGGGCAGGAGGAAAGCAGGTTCGGAGCTGTACGAGTTCTGGGTACCAAGGGAAGAGTGAAGATGGGGGCACGTACCTTCCAGCAGGGGTCCTCGTTAGCTGGCACAGGGAGGAAGGGCGGAGAAGATGTTAGTGGGTGCAGGAGGATAACAGGTCAGGACTGGGTCCCCCAGGCCTAGTGTGGCAGGGTCCTCGCCCTTGATGGGAGCATTACAAGGCCTAGTTGATGCCTGAGTTCTCAGAACCATCATAAGGGCAGGGTCTCTGCTTTGGTCTTGGTCAAGACCCATCTCATGAGGATTATGGTTTGCTCAGAGAAGGAACCAGAATTCGGAGTACCCCTCAGAGTGACCTGTTGGCTCCTTTTGGCTGCAGACCCTTGCCTTCTAGGCTGTGATCTCAAACCACACATGGTTATAACACTACTCATGGGAGATGTCCATCAACTGGGAGCAGGTGTCATAGGCCCACTGCATAGCACAGATCAACAGTGCCAAGGCCCAGGGAAGCATCTGAGGCCCCGAGAGCTACAGAGAACACCAAGGAGGCGGCCATTGGCAGCTCTCTTGTTCTTTGAGATATGGCTTTTCTATAGCCCAGGCTGGCCTGGAACTCCCTGCAATCCCGTTTCAGCCTCCTGAGCACTGTGAGCCACTGTGCCCACACTGGTAGTTTTCTAAGGGACAGTGCCAAGTGGCCCCCAGCTGCTGGTGTATTCTTGTCCTGAGGTGGCTGACAGAGAAGAGAAGGCCCTATTGAAAGCTGGGATACATGTCCCTGCCTGTCAGAGCTGAGCCCAGCATCTAGGACTCCTAGACCAGTCTAAGGAGTCCAACTGCCCACAGTCGGTCCAGGAGGAAGGCTAGGGATGGGCTGAGCCCCAGCCCGGCTAGTACATGTCTGGTAGTGGGCAACATGGCTGAGCGGGCAGCATGAGGCTCACACAGGCTAGATACTGGCAGGAAAGTGTGTGTAGGGGGGTGCTCCTCTGTATACATCTTCATCTCTGCCAGCCCAGCTTTCGGGTGGTCTTCACTAGGGTTCTCTGATCTGGGTACCAAGCACAGGAGCACGTCAGAGACCTGTGTGACCACAGTGCACAGTCTGCTTCCCACTGCAGTTTCTGTACCTGACAAATGGGAACTGACCCCAGTAGCTCTCCTTCCCCAGAAGCCGGGACTGCAGAGGTCACAGTCCTAAAAGTCTGAAGAGCTGTGGAGGGGCCAGGGCCAGGGAGGGGAGTGGATCTGCAGAAGCTGTGGTTCTGGCTGGCACTTACCTCGTGCTGTGAGGAACAGGGGGTTGTTGAGATAGCTGGAGGCCAGCCGCTTCCGCTGCAGGGACAGAAAGCACAACAGAGTGACCCGTCATGTGGAGTCCTTCCTCCACTGCCACCCTGCCCAGGATCCCCCAAAGACAGCCCCAGCATCAGGCTCTGGAGACCAGGTGAGTCCCCTGTTGGAGGCAGGGGAGGAAGCAGATACTAGGGACCCAGGGGCAGTGGTGGGTGGGGAAGGGACGTTCACAAAGCTCGGTTCTGCTGAGGTCCTGGTGCCAAGTTGTCTCAGGTGGGAAAGAAAAGGGGAAGCCCCCAAGCATGACAGGTCAGGACCAAACCTAGCATGGTCCTCCCCACTGGCCTGCTTCCTGATCTTTCTCTAGTTCTGGAGGCAGCTGGGGAAATGAGGGTGTACGGACTGGCCCCCTCAAATTTCACCTCTTGGCACGTGGTTCAAAGCCTGCAGGAGCTTCTCTGAATTCCAGAGGAATGGTACAACCCCACAGGCCACATCCTCCGGACTTTGGTACCATGCTGTTTTGACTGTGGTAAAAAGATTATTCTAGAAATGTGGGATTAGCTTGGAAACACTCAACGTGGCCAAGCAACATTCAAAGGCAAGTAAGGGCCTGTGGAAGGCTGCTCCTGGTGTCAGTGCTTCTCTAAGGCCCAAGCAAGGGTCACAGGGCTTTGAGCTGACTGCTGAGGTATGAAGGAGGTCACTCCATGCTGGCTGCGGGTTTGGGGCTGGAGGGTACATAGACTCTGTGCCCAGAGCAGTGGCTGGTTTGTCAACATCCAACCAGAGGGCTGATGCCCTGGTCATGGAATATGTGTTCCTGGCTGGAGGTTGAAGATGACTTGGGGTTCTTCTGGGGCTTTGTTTATTGTTAGTCAGGGTCTCATGATGCCCAGGCTGGCCTTGAACTCACTATGTAACCAAGGATGACCTCGAACTCCTGATCCTCTTGATTACAGGCATGCACCACCATGCCTTGTTTATGCAGTGCTGGGGGATCAAACCCAGGACTTCTTACATGCCAGGCAAGCACTAATCCAACTGAGTCACACCCCCAGTCTTCAATGGGCTTCTGAAAGGTCCCCACATCTGGGGCCAGGACTTGCTCACCAGACCCAAAAGTGAATGTCATACACTTGGAGTGAGCACGTTCTGAGAAAGGAGCAGGGAGGAGAGAGAAAGGGACATATGGGATGGAGCCTGAGGACTCTCCCTCCTCCCCTGGACGGGGCTCTACAGGGCTGGAGCTGACCATGTTCCCTGTGAGAGCTCTCCTTCCCAGCAAAGCTCAGGTTCACAGGTTTGGGACCCACAACCTAGAGAAGGGAAATGGCCTCTTTATTCTTCCTGAGACCCAATGGGGAGCCAGCCCATCTCAATCCTATCTGGTCCTTTCTCTTTGGGGCCAGCCTGTTCCCCACCTCACATTCTCTGTAGTTGACTGGATAGGCTCTGTACACAAGGCCCACGATGACATTAGGTCAGGGGCTCAGCTCTATCTGTGACCAAGAAGAGGTTTGTTCCCTCACTCCCCAGCAGGGCCGCAGCTAGGAATGCAACAGATAGCTTCTGTTTGCTTTGGGACAGGGTCTCACTGTGTAGCCCAGACTGGCCTGGAACTGGCAACCCTCCCACCTCAGCTTCCCGATTGCTGTGATCACACTCAGTGGGAGCTGACAATTTCACCTTCTTCCTTCTGGTTTGGGAGGGATGTGCGAGGAGGCAGAAGGAAGGAGCTGGGCGGTCCCAGGGTCTGGCCTGAGCTGTGCACCTCTCCTTCCCACCCACCTCAGTCTCCAAGAAGCTGCTGTAGGTGGGGTTGGCCGTGCTCCTCCTCTTCCGCTCCTGGCGCTTGCTCTGGATCTCTGGAAAGGCAAACACAGCAGTCACTGGGTTCCTCCTCCGGCCCTGGCACAGCAGCCCTCTATCAGTGCTGCAGCTGTCTGCCCTGACTGGGCCCTGCAGGGTCAGAGGCTCCAGGAATAGCTCTGGCGGCCTTAGGATGAGTGTCAGGGCGGGGTGTGTGTGGGGAGAAGCAGGGACATACTTCTCAGCCTGAACCCCTCCCCACCAGCTGTCTGTTGGGACCCCTGAGTGGTAGCAGCAGAGCCCACAGCTCAGATACCTGCCTGGCTAGCTGATGGTAGAGGCCCTGCCTCCACTGGGCCAGGCACCTTTGTAGTTCTCAGCAGCCTCTGCCCCAGGCACACTGACCCACGTCCTTCCCCTCTCCTCCCTTTGGCTTGTACAGCCAGCTCTGCCTCCCCAGTAGCTGCCCAGTGTCCTGTCCGTCTTCAGTGTTACCCCCGTGTGCTTCCTGTGAGACACCGCTGACCTCCAATAAATATTTCGGGGATCACAGTCTGTGGGAGACTGTGGGGAGGTTTTCAAAGTGAGGACCATTTTCATATGAGGAAAGCTTTTTTCCTTTGGTTCTCAGGAAACAGAGGCCCAGAGTGTGGACCTAGTGGGTATGTAGCTCAACTGGGCCTCAAACTCAGGATTTCTGTGTCTATCTCATAAGGTCTTGGCACTCCAAAGTCAGAGGTAAAGACAACTTAAGTTCTATATCATCACACAGAAGAACCTAGGGAACATCCAACCCACTGCAAGGTTGAGCCAAGGCTACCCCAGGGGAGCTGGAAGGCGGGTCTCTGCCCTGCCCACCCAGCCACACCTGGGCCTCAGCTGCTGGCTGCCAGGGACCATTGGGTGGTAGGGTTAGCCAAGGCTGTTCCCTGGGAGGCTATGTGACAGCCAGACCACCTCCTTCTACTGTAAGACGGTTCAGCTGAGCTTGGGGGCCCTGCTCTGACGTAGGCTTGGCCCTGACAACCTGCATGACCTTGGCCATCCCCAAGTCACCTGCTATGTTGGGCAGGAACTCTGCCTGACATCAAAGCTACTAAGCTCCACCTCAGGCCCACACACAGTTCATGCCCTGCCTATTGTGGCTTCCAAGGAAATGCAAACCCAACTGTCTGTCCTCCCCAGGCTGACTGGGTACGTTTCTACTTCATGAAATGTCTTTACCAGGTGAGGTGGGTGTGCAGTCAGGAGATCTAGCTTCCAACCCAGGCTGTGTGACCCTGGACAAGTGATCCGAGTTCTCTGGCCTCAGCTCCCCTGTCTGCAATGGGAGGCCTGGTTTCTAGGCCTCTAGCAAGTGTGTCTATCAGTTGGTGAAATGGTCCAGAGTCACGCTGTCTTATCTGCTTAAACTCATGTCCCCCTGAGCCCTAGGTCAGTCCCAGCACACCTGAGTGCATGTGCCTGGTGCATGATGCAATTGCATGAGGACGGCCCATTTCAGATAAAAAGATGGAATGCAGGGAAGTGACATAACTTTGGCTCAAATGGTCAGCAAATGACAGGACCAGACAGCTGCACTTTACTGTGGCTCCAGGGTGGGGACAGGTCCCTCCATATGAACAAGACAGTGCCGCATGGAGCCTGTTTTCCATGGGGCACGGAGACCAGAAGAGGTCTCTGGCTTGTCCTGGATGACTGTGTGCCCCCCTTTACCTGGGGCTGGGTTCTCAGAAGGGTCACACCCAGATGGCTATGACTTAAGAGTACCCTAAAACCCTCTTCACTGCCTGAGGCCACACCCCAGCTGTCTTACCATCACACCAGTCCCATCAAGCCCCACCTCACCCCGGCTCCTGTCCGAACACTTACCTTCCAGGTGCTCAGTTGTGACCAGGCCTAGCGCTACCATGAAGGCAATTTTCTGAGAAGGAAAGGGATAGAGAGGCATTAGCGCAGTCTTTCACCCTCACCCAGTCTCTGCCAAGAACTCTGAGCCACAGGGCTGATATGATACCCTGGGGGTGCCCAAACATGGAGATGATGCCCCAGACACTGTGAATGTTCCCAGGATGCTCAGAGACTGTCAAAGTCAATGTATGTCGCTCCTGGGAACACCTGGGGGCCCATGACAGGGCTGGATAAACACACTTCTCAAACACACTTTAAAAAATGGACAGCACAAAGCTGGGCATGGTGGCACATGCCCCTAATCCTGAACTTGGAAGATGGAGGCAGGGGATCACAAATTCGAGGCTATCCCTGGCTACATGGTGAGTGTGAGGCCAGCCTGGGCCACTCAAAACCCTGATTCAAAAAATAAACACAAGGGCTGGAGAGATGGCTTACTACTTAAGAGTGCTTACTGCTTTTGCAGGGGACCCAGGTTCAATTCTTAATCACTTATGTCAGATGGTTCAAAAACCACCTGTAACTCCAGCTCCAGGGGGATCTGACACCCACTTCTAACCTCTGAGGGCACCTGCACCCACATGGGCACATACCCACACAGACACACACGTGCATGCATATACACACACACGCACACACACACACGCACGCACGCACACATAGTTGAAAGTAATAAAACAATAACTACAAATAAAGACCACTGACAGCATGGATGGCAATTCAGCCACTGGTTGGATTTTGACATAGTCCCACTGGCCTGGCTTTGTGATTTCTGTTCAGGTAAGATTTTTTTGTGTATGTGTATGAGTATTGTCTGTACATGTGTCTGTGCATATGTGTGCAGTGCCCATGAAGACCAGAAGAGGCATCAGATCTCTTGGAACTGTTGTTATGGTTGACTCTGACCTGAAGTGGGTGCCGGGAACCGAACCCAGGTCCTCTGCAAGAGCAGCTGGTGTTCTTAACCACTGGGCTATCTCTCTAGCCCCTGTTCACTTTGCATCAAATACCGTTGAGCCCACCCATAAACCCCAAACCTTGTCAGGAAGTTGCATCCTTCATACCTCAGCCCCTTTCAGCAATCCTCATTTTGAGCTTTGTGATTATTTTTTTTAGACATACACACATTTTATCATTCATTTGCGTATTCCAAAATGGAACAGCACACAGCTTTACCCGGCTGTGACCTTATAAAGGGGCACTGAACATTCCTTTATGGAGTCACCCTTCTTGCTTAGTCCTTTTCCCTGTGTGTAGGCAGCAGCGACAGACTATCGCATTATGTCAAATAGACCCTGTGAGATGCCTATGGTTAGATTCGAGTTGGCCTTGAAGGGCGCTGCCAGCTCTGCCAGTCTCGGTGTAGGAGGTCTACTGGCACCTACTGTGACCATGACTGAGTTAATGAACAAGCATTTCTTTATTTTTATTTTATGTGTATGATCATATTGCCTGCATGTATGTAAGTGCACCCATGTTGTGCAGAGCCTGCAGAGGTCAGAGAAGGGCGTCGGATCCCCTGGAACTGGAGTTATAAATGGTTGTTAGTTGCCATGTGGGTGCTGGGAACTGAACCTGGGTCCTCTGCAAGATCAGCCAGATTAACCACTGAGCCATCTCTCCAGCCCCTTATGTAATGTTTTTAATAAAAATAATAATTCTAAGCTGGGTGTGGTGGCACATGCCTTTAATCCCAGCACTCAGGAGGCAGAGGCAGATGGATCTCTGTGAGTTCAAGGCCAGCT